TTATGATCCTTGTTGCACCCAGCACCCTGGATGGTGTGGATCAGTGCTTCTTCCTCCCTCCAAACGCCTGAATTCCAGCACCAAAGAGGCCGCATTGACCAGTGAGCAAGAACCCCTCCTCTTCATAAGGTAGTAGGGAAGGAAGTTGGAAAAGACCATGAATATGTGTACATTTATAAATTTTGTTCCTATTAAACATGCTTATTAACAACGTGCTTGATCTGCTCAATTTCTGAATGTCTGGACTAATATAGCTCATAAAGAGAAGAATGAGTTTGCTCAGGTTAACAAGTTGCTACTGAAGAAGCAATTGACTTGTCACCATCTAGTGGCAAAGTAGCCACAATTTTGGGAAGCATTTAAAATTTTGTACAAGAATATGAAAATGCTTGTAGTCATATGTAGGGATGGAGCTGTACTGAGTCTGGCAACAGGAGGGAGTGAATTTTTGGGTGAAAGTACCACGTTTTTGAGACCAACGCTTGTTCTTTATTTCTTTCCTTTAAGTATTCTTATTCTGTGTAGGATAGACTGCTCTGTTGATGCTGAGCATAAAGCCATAGTTTGCCTCTCTGAGGGCCTCTTCTTATGCTTGTATTCCACTTGATTTTTCATTGGCTTTCTTTTCTTGGTTCAGGAACTGTGAAAATAGTTGAGGGCTCAGAGCAGTGGCATATAGAAGCCCAAACAGAAGGGACTTTGGTAGAGAGAGGTTGTATGATACTATTATGGCAGACACATTTCGGTTGCGTCAAAAGTAAAAAACAAATGTAGTAGCAACTGTGGTTCACAGATTTCTCTCCTATCTGACCTCTGCTAGAATTTATTGTTTTGAAGTTAATATTTATCCTGTCTTTTGTTTGTTTTTGCTTGTTTTCTTACCCTATCCTTTCCTTTGTTTTCTCTGTTGTCATTGTAATAAACCTTTGTATAAATACAGCTCTTGTGTTTATATATTCAAATTACAAACATGTTAAGACTATTAATTATTTATCTATCCTACTAGAATATAAACTCTACAAGAGCAGGGACTTTGTTTCCTTCACATTGTTTCCCAAGAGCTTGGAACAGGGACCTGGCATATAGTAGTCATTTAATAAGTATTTTTCAAATAATTGATAAATGTCATACTTCCCTTTTTATAACATGAGGTGCCTTGCATTTGCCACTGTTTGGATTCTCAGAATGTCTTATTTCAGTTTTGTGGAGTTGGGTAGGGTGGGAGAAGGATTTCAGAAGACTGCACTCTGGGGTCTCTGTCCTTTGGAAGGACAGTCTATAACTGTGGCTCTGTGCCTAATCTTAGGTCCCAGGCCAGCTTCATGTAGATGCAAGTGAAGTGGGACTGTTACCTTCAAGAACATTTCTTCTGCACACAGCTATAACATCTTTGCCAGAGAATGAATTTCAGTCAGTGACAAAATCTGAGTTCTGAGAAGTGAAATGCTCTACCATAATACTGCTATCGTTCTCAGGGGATCTGACCTCAGCCAGGAGCTGTATGTATTCATCATCACTGAAGCAGAGCATCTCCTAATTCAGCAGTGACAGACTACCCTCCCCAGCCATGCTGACTGCTGCCCTGGGACTGCTGATGCTGGTTGCAGTGGCTGAATTTCTCATTGGCCTGGTTGGAAATGGAATCCTTGTGGTCTGGAGTTTTAGACAATAGGTCAAAAATACATGCTCTGGGCATGAGGGTTGGCCACTTTCTCCTATGCAGGCTGATCATGGTGGCCTCTTGTTCCTCTCTAAGGCTGTTTCCACTTTTCCAGAGCAGTGGTTGGCTTCGTCATCTTAATGTCTTCTAGTCCTGGTAAGCCAGGCCAGCATAGCATGTGGTTTGCCACTTTCCTCTGTGGCTTCTACTGCATGAAGATTATGACCTTTGGCCACCCTGACTTCTTGTGGCTGAAGAAGAGGGCCTGAAGCCTGGGTTTTTGGTTTCTTCCAGTGTCTTTCAAGATAACTTTTCATTTCTTAGCTCTTGCTGGCTTGAAGTTTTACAAACCATTAACAGGAATCAGCAGCATCCTATACCTTATTTGAGGTTTGTGTTATTTTTATACATTGCAGTCCAGTGCAGGAAACTCACTGATTTGTGGTGTTTCAGCTCCAGCATGCTGATTATCTTCCACAGAGACATCATGGGAAGATGAAGGACCACACAGCTATAAGGATGTTCAAGCCAAGGTTCATATTGCTCTAAAGTTCCTCCTTTACATGGTTTCTGCATTGACTAGCCTCTTTTCCATCATCTCCGAATCTTCCCCCTCCAAGCTCACCGCTATCTCCATCTCTGTGACACTCGTGGCTGCCCACACTTTCCTCCATTCTATCATAATGGTCATGAGGAATCAGACTTGTCAGATTCTGTGGAAGATGGCATGTGCTTGGAGATCCTAGAGGCCACAGCAGGGGAGAAAGATCTAGGTCCTTAACTGGATAATTGATAAGAGTAAAATTAACGAACTGTAGATTTAAGTAAAATAAAATTTTTATTCTCAATTCTTCTTGTTTCTTCTCTGATTTTGAAACAAAATGAGAGGGTAACATGAAAAACAGGATAGAAACCAGAGCTGTTGTACTCTAAGTAATGCAAAGTGCATTATTTTAATAAACTCCAGAAGTCAAAACTGGGTTTTCACATTTTGCATGGAAAGTGTCACATTTTTGCAAATAACTGCAGATAATCCAATTTTCTTTGCCAATACACTATGTCTCTCTCATAAAAGGAAGTAGAAAATAGTGATAATTTAAAAATAATGTGTGTTTTAAAAATAAATGAACCTGTATACCATTTGCTGGATATTTTTTTAGGCAAACATTTTTCTTAGTGGAATTAGCTAAATTATTATCTCAATTCTCTATCTGGTTTAGCTTCTCTTAACACCAGCATTAAAGTAGTCTGTCAAAAATCCTTTTCTATTTCTGAAGATTTTGTGTTTTAGGCCAGACTAGGCTTTCTGGAAACATATCAGTTGGCTACCATGATCTGTATAGCAAGTTCCACTGCCCAGGCTAGGTTGGGGCAGGTGGGGAGATAGAAGTACTATGTTTCTTCAAAAAGTCACCAAAGAAACACTGCTTTTGGACAGGTTTAAGCCTTATCCAGATTTTCTGGCCAGTGGAAGATCATGACCTTCTCTGTTTCTCTATTGCCTGCAGCCAGGGTTTTGGGGCGCTAGGTATTGGAGCTGGGTGGGGTTGATGCAGAAGGAACACTCCCTGGAAGCAAGGACTGTGTGTTGTTCACTGCTCTGTCCCCTGTGCCTAGTACATTGTAGCTTGGCACATAATAAGCACTAGTAACTCTTACCTGAAGGAATGGAAATCTAGTCATATAATCCTTCAGTTATTAGTGGAGAAACTGAGGCCAAGAGAAGGGCAGCGGCTTGCCCATAGCTTCCTGGGAAGTGTGAGGCAGTGCTGTGGCCAGACTCCAGGTCTCCTGGTCCTGGTATAACCCTCCCGTCTGCCATACTCATGCTGCCTTCCTAAGAGACCAGCCTGGCCTTCTTCCTTTCTAACCCAATTGCTCTTTCTCTGCATTTCCTCACAGTCATTGCCAGCCTGCTTTGAACACTGTATTTGTTTTTTATTTGCTCTGTAGCAGCACAAACGTAGTAGTTTAAAGTGACATACATTTATTATGTCATAGTTTCTGTGGAAGAATTCGGGCACAACTTAACTGGGCCTTCTGTTTAGGGCGTCACAGCTATAATCAAAATGTTGGCTGGCCTTTATTCCTTTTTGAAGTTTATCCAAGTTTACAGGATTGGTGGCAGAATTCAGTTCCTTATGGTTGTAGGACTGAGGTCACCTTTTTCTTGCTGGCTGTCAGCTGGGGGCTACTCTCAGTAGCTAGAGGCCTCATGCAGTTTCTTGCTGTGAGCCTTCTTATAACATGATAGCTGGATTTCTCAAGCCTGGCAGGCAGATCTCTCTCTTCAGGTATGGCCCAGTTCCTCTTTCAAAACTTTGAATTGATAAAAGGCAGGGCCACCCAGAATACCTTCATTTTAATTAACTAAGAATCGACTGATTTGGGACCTTAATTACACCTGCAAAAGCTATCCACCTATGCCTAATCACAGAAATGACATCTCATCTCATTCACAGTCCTACTCACACTCAGGGATTATTCAGGGTGTATATACCAGGGGATGGGAATCTTGGGGGCCACCTTAGAATTCAGCCTCCCACAAACATGTTTGTGTTGGCCTGGTCCCAGGGAAGTTGTGACCGAAGGTCAATAAATGAAGCACTTTTCTTGCATTTCTTGATAACTGTGCTGATCTTTTTCTTTGAGCTCATCTCCTTTCTCTAAGACCTTGATGTGAGATATAAGATGAGGCGAGTGTGCATGGATAATTGGTCATAAACGACAAATGGCTTCAAAGACCATGGTTAACAGTAATGGCTTCCCTACGTGACCTATATTTTTTATTGTTTGGCACTTAAATATAATATGTTTTGGCTCTCTTATGTTTTCTTCCCCCAGGATTCCCCTACTTCTACCTTTGATAATGAAATATATTTTTAATTTCTGAGGTGATTTAACTTTCATGCTTACATGTTCAATGTTCCTTTCATGAAAATAAAATTTTCTTTTTTGATAGCATATGTGCTCATATCTGGCTCTGTATAGAACCTGAGCATGTTTTGATTTAGTCTTTCTTGTTGAGAGGTCTCGTTATATTATGTACTGGTGTCTAGACTTTATCCCATGACTTTTGAAATGGAGAGTCTGTGTCTATGGTACTGTTTCCAATCTCTAAGTTTAGCCATGAAGATGCAAATACAGAGGGGATCGTAATTTCTAACCTCTTTGTTCCTGCTCACAGCTGTTCAGTCTTGCTTGAAGACACGTTACAGAAGGACAAGGCCAAAACCAGATTTTTGTGGTGTGAAAATTTACCCTAGCGTGGTAAATTTTCAGCCAGGAGCAGTGGCAGACCTCAGCCGGGAGCAGTGACAGATTCCCCTCTCCAGCCATAATGACTGCTGGTCTAGGACTGCTGATGCTGGTAGCAGTGGCTGAATTTCTTACTGGCCTGCTTGGGAATGGAGTCCTTGTGGTGTGGAATTTTGGAGAATGGGTCCGAAAATCCAAGGCAACTTCATACAATCTCATTGTCCTGGGCCTGGCTGGCTGCAGGTTTCTCCTGCAGTGGCTCATCATGTTGGACTTAAGCCTGTTGTCACTTTTCCAGGGCAGCCATTGGCTTCACAATCTCAATGTCTTCTGGGTCCTGGTAAGCCAGGCCAGCCTGTGGTTTGCCACTTTCCTCAGTGTCTTCTATTGCAAGAAGATCACAACCTTTGAACACTCCGTCTACTTGTGGCTGAAGCAGAAGGCCTATAGCCTGAGTCTCCGGTGTTTTCTGGGGTACTGGATGATCGATTTGTTACTTATAGTCCAAATTGGCTTAAAGCCCTACAGTTTTTCCCAAGGAAACAGCAGCAATCTGTACTCCTTTTCAAGCTGGCACAGGTTTTTTATATTTCAGTTTGGTGCAGGAAATTGGTTGCTTTTCATGGTGCTTCTTGTTTCCTCTGGGATGCTGACTGTCTCTTTGTATAGGCACCACAGGAAGATGAAGGTCCACACAGCTGGTAGGAGGGACGCTTGGGCCAAGGCTCACATCACTGCCCTGAAGTCCTTCGGCTGCTTCATTATACTTCACCTGGTTTATACTGTGGGTGTCCCCTTCTCCATCACCTCTAGGTTTCCTCCTGCTAATCTCTCCGGTGTCTTCATCTCTGAGATATTTATGGCTGCCTATCCATCTCTTCATTCTCTCATATTGATCATGAAGATTCCCAGGCTGAAGCAGACTTGTCAGAGAATCCTACGGAAGACAGTGTGTAGTTGGAGATCCTGGGGCTTGTGATCTGGGGAGAAAGGTGTGGTTAAGGAACTCTTTTGATAACTCTCTATAAGGGAGCTGACTTTCATGTCTTTTAAGATTTTTTTCCTCTGATGCTGATTCAATGAATGGGCAATAGGAAATAGAGAATGAAACCCACTACTATTTCTCTTTTGGCAATACAGAGTATGTGTATTACAGAAGTCAACGGCAGGGCTGTATGTTTGGTAAAAGAGGTATTATATTCTGGTTTACATGTAGCAAACAATTCATTAATTTTTTACATTACATATATAAATTGTTTTTCCTGTTATAAGAACCAGAGATTAGGATCAATTCATATAGTGCTCAATAATTTTT